CTGTCTGCCTCTTCCGTTCAGAACGGGTAGCGACTCCGTTGCTGACTGGTATCTTCGTCGTCGTTGCGTCTGTCTTTTTCAGCCGTCGTTGTGCTGCCACGCCCCCGACTGGCACAGGGCAATGAGCAGGTTCTGATCGCCGACTTTTCGCAGTCTGCCTCAGTCCCCCAACAGCCTGCGTGGCCTTTGGTAACCCAGGCGACGACCGAGCCGGTATAATTTTCGATGACGTCAATGCCATGAGTGGCAGGTGGCTGAATTTTACGGAGACTTGCCACGGTCTCCAACCTTCCTCCTTTCTCCTCCGGGCTTGGGACCGGCAATGGTAGAGTTTAACACACGAAGGCATTTCGGGATTTTCAGTTTAAACTGTATTTACACTCCACGCATAAAGCTCAGATGAGAGCGTGACGCCGTCATTGTTTAAGTTTCGACCGAACGGGATAGCGCTGTCTCCGCGGTAGTAATTCGAGTTTCTCACGGTATCGAAACTGTTCCACACCTCCCCTTTCAATTTCAGAATGTTCGGTCGCAAGCTTGGTAAGTGATCTCTTGGCCTGGCGTTTGAGTAGTTACGCGTTTTCAGTGCATGCTTTTTTGCTGTTTATTGTTGCCGGCATCACTGACAGCCGTTTCCTGCCTTCGTACTACCTCGGAAAATCCGCGAAGAACAACCATTCGATGTTGCATACCATGTCGGGTAGTCGGCCACTTTCCAGTTCGGCGATGATGATGAGGAACACAACAACGGAGACGATCGCAGAGGTGACAATGAATATGACGCAAAATACGACGGGCCGACCGAAAATAACAGGAAAACATGGCCCGGATATTTTCAGTTTAGGAGCTGAGAGCATCGGCACTAGACATTAAACCTTAGGTTGATATTTTTCAGGCGAAAAGTTCGCTTCCAGATATTGGTATGCAATCGTACTGTTCGTACTCTTCCTATCTTGTTTCATGTATAATTGCTGTACTTATCGTACAGATGAGATGCCAGGTGAGACCTAGTTAATTTCGTACACAATGCTTCGCTAGCTTCGTTCCTTCAGACGAATCGCCGCTGCCCATCTTGGACACTGCATTGCCAGAGAACCAACCGGCAACGGCAGAAAATAGTGGTAATGTCGAGGACCAAAGACATGACGAACCACGTGAAAGATTAAACCCTTCCGAAAAAAACACTACATCGACGAATGAGTCGAGTACTGAAAGATCGGAAAGTGAAGAATCGCTAAAAAACAAGCGAAACGAGTTGAAAAACAGTTACTGCGACTCATCAGACCAAGAATCAACCAGCGATGAGGAAGCGTCAGAGGAATTACAGCTGACACTCATTTCGAACAGCAGTACAGAGCGTTCGAATACGCAGAAAGTATAGGCGAGAATTCAAACAGCAGTAGTGTGCTGTACATTCTACCAGTCGCGTTTTTAACTTGTCTCTGAATGATCAGTATTGTCAAATAGGATAAATTTAAGGCAATATTCGCAGCACTGCATTGGTTTACTCGTGCACATTCATCGGTTAGCTTCGTCATGTCAGTAAGAGCAGACATACTTCCACCAAATTCAGTCGCAAGGCATCCGCCTGGCCTTTTACTAGTGGATCGCAAGAGCGCCACGTAAGCTAACCACGGCTCCATCGTGTTTTAGAACCAAAAATGCATGTCCTGACCGCCATCAATAAAGCTATAGTAGCCGCTACTCCATAAAAAATGCGCAACCAGCAACAAGTAAACAACAGATTCCTGCACCAGAAGAAGTAGAATGCTGTCAAACCGACTCAAAAATTTGCAGCTGGTTTCAATTCGCTATAACGAGGCTGTTTAACGGTCAGCTATAATCGGCATAAGATGTTCCGGAGTTAGTTAAACACAAGTAATCGGCTCCGCAAAACATAATTCAATCATCCTTGCCGCGGGAAGCCCGCAACGATCTACGTAAGAACTTAATTTGCACGATGAAGTAGGTGGAGTTTGTTCCCCTTCAGCCGCCATGGTAGCACTGAAAGCTTGTTGGGAATTCGTGGAACGGTCGGCTAATTAGGCTGTGATGAATTATTTTAAAATTCAAGCTGGTGGTCATAGCCACGCAGTGGCTTAGAAGTGGCTGCCACCGCTCAATCGAAGCTAATGCCGTCTAAAACCTAATGATCCACAGGCAGATACCTGTTGACAACGGAATAACATGGCTGCTCTACCGCACTCTGTGTCTTATGCCTCCCTTGCTTCAAGGAGACAGGTTATTAAACGACAATCAACCAGCAGCAATACGAATTCAAACTACTGCACCAGAGTTTTGGCTGGTGGCTTGTCAATGCATTGGCATCCACACTGAAAAGCAACATAAACACAGTTAAACACAATAACGATTTAACGCAATACACTGGTCCATCGGGTGGTCATACTTATAGAGATCTACCACCAGACAGACTTTATATTGTGTGGTATTAATGCACCGTTTTGTCCTGCTCTTGTTTCATTCAGCAGGGTCGTCGATTTCTATCTTTCCATACAGGATTCACAATCCTGTGCCACTCCACTACCTCAGAATGGAGGAGGGCGGAAAGACGTTCTTAAGACGATGTAAGCCGATGCTACAGGCTTTACTAGGTTCAACAATGCCGTGAAAGCTTGACTAATAAATCCGGCCAAGGTGAAGAGGCAACACTCACCAACATGGTGAGTTACGGCCAAATCCTCACAGACAAAATTATGTTTATGGCAAAGTCTTGGAGAAGCCTCCATCAAGCAGTAGATCGAAAAAGATTGATGATGATGACACAGCAGGCAAATCTTAGATGCCCTACTATGTTGCGGCTACTGGAGGATCATATTTTCCGAAGCGAATTAGAAAACGAGGTTGACAGCTGGCGGGCTGCTGGATCACAGGCCTGTTAGAAACAGTTGTTGTTGTCCACCAATTTCGCCAGTTTTGACGGACGAGGCATGTCCTGATTTCGTCCAATATTCGAAACAATTCTCTTCGTTTTTAATGCATTTTAACAACCTCTTTAAGACAACAGTGGAATGACAGATGAGTTATTCATGATAATGTTTAATCGTCTGTTCACAGGATGGACTGTTTAGTTATATTTTCAGTGAGGATTAATACAGCCAATGATTCTCAAACCTTCCATCGCTAACCTGCATGTATTATTTTTAGTTTTTGGAAATTCACAGTTTGCTGTCCAATTTACATTTTCGACATAACAAGAAGATACAACATTGGAGTTTCTGTACTACAATGCTTAATTCATATGGCTGTCCACCTTATTGGTGTTACAATCCAGAATGGTAATCCGTATATAGTGGTATGCACTGAAACTGATTCGGTGTTAAGCTTAAGCAGGCAGCATATCGGTTTTAAAAGATTACTGCTAAGCCAAACCATTACCCCCTGTACTTCAAGCTTTTCACTGCCTCCTGAAAGTTAAATTCTATTGTGGCTTAGGATCTGGCTGAAGCATAGGCGGCAACACCGCAAAACCCACGGGTCGGGGCACACTCGCCTATATTGTTGTGAGCGAATTAACACTCTGGACAGTGATACTGGCAGTGACTCTGTCCATATTCTGCCGTTAGGAAGACAAAGACGAAACATGACAACCGTAGGAGGCTGCACCTCAGGCGACAACTGTGATCATAAGAATCATGTAGAACCGATCTGATCTTCAACACTACATCACAGAAGCGTTCTCTGGAGATTTGCCGCCTGCTAAGAACGATGTCAGCACATTTCCTACGCCGGTCATATTTAACACTTTTGGTTGTGGACCAGAACTATTTCACTCCGTAAAAAAAGGTGAGTTCGCCTCCCCAATGCGACATCCCAGAATACGCCGAAAAGAATAAGTGACTTAAATTCTACGCAAAGACCGGTAAAGGAGGCTTCTCACAGAGAGCAGCACTCTGAGTTTACAGAAAAATTAGGATGAGGGAATAGGAGATACGGGTAGCACGCTAGATCAGTAAACGACATAACCAGGAAGTCCAACAAAAACAAAAGGCATCGATCAACGTCAGGGATGAGTTCCAATACCTCATTCACTAGTCAAGCAGCCAATGATGATTCCTTTATGAAAACAGCATCGAAGCAAATGAAAATAACGAAGAGTACGGCACGACCATACACTGTAGCCAAAGGAACGAACAAAACGTAATACTGTCTATCGGCGGGTAGTGGAACGCTTGATATAACCTTCAAATCGAAGTTCAATACCTGAAGTTTACAAAAGTTTCGTTCGGGCGGCGGAATTTGCTCCTGTACGTAGCGAACGTTTGTCGTTCACAACAAATTAAAACAGATCTGTTTTTACTTACTTGCTCATATCGTAATTATGAATCTGTTTAATTATTTTAGCTGATAAATAAGCTGAAAATTCGACTATAAATCAACTCTCGGCAAACAATTCTATTAGATTATCATGGAATGGATAACGCAGTTAGTTAATGCTAGAAAGCTCCTTAATCAGCCAGACAATAGGACGTTCTTACACTTGCAAAACTTTATCTCTTTGTAAGACCAAAAGATAACACCAAAGATTCCAACTATCCTGGTTACACCATTTTTTCGATTTCAAAACCACATTTGACTCAATGAATTGTTTAACCCAATGGAAAATTCAGAAATTATGTGAGAATGATTTCTTGCATCGCTTCCATTTTGGAGCACATGCATACTGTAACTATGCATGCTGTAAAAGTCAAAGCAAGTCAATTTCAGTAGCGACAACAAAGAAAATATGGAATATGGTTCGTTGTGCTATTCAACAAATTCCCCGATATGCAGCCCGAAATTTTGCCGACCTTTGCAGAGACGAAACCGCCGTCATACGAGAAAAGCGCATATTGAAATGTGTGCTTTAAAGTGCCCTTAAAACTTTCAAAGTACTGGGAATTCCTCAAAGAAAGTTGTCAAAGAACTAACGATAATGATTTAAGCACTAATTTTTGATTAAATTTTGCAAAAACTGATTCATTAAATAAGCTTCTCTATTTAATTATTTAAAAGCTAAGTTCAGACTTAGGAAGTGAGCAATCACTGTCAAATTCGGGAGCAAAATATCAATAATAATATTGCTAATCAGCAATAATTTTGCATTGCAGGATGGCGAGGATATCTTGTTGATTTGTAGCAAGTAAATGGTAGCCTCATTGTGACTAGCACGTGGTCAGACAGTGTCATGTTGCGGTTTCAATGCGCAACACAGATGCCAAGGCATTCGGAATTCAAAATTTATGAAAAATTGCAAATTTCTATTTGCACAGCCTATACAGAAGTAAAACGGGGAGGTGAAACTGTAGAATAGGTTGAACAATTTTAATATCTCGGTTTCATCTAGTCAAAGTTTGATATAAAGATTGTAGTTACCCCGATGCTTCTGGTAGCCTGCCTAATTCTTGGGCTCAGAAGAGAAAAATACATTTCACACATGTGCCTGCCTGTGATTTGTCTCTATCAAGTCAATGTTATTGTTAATTCATTTGGTCAAATTCAGCTATCCGGAGCAGGGGGACAGTGAAGTGCAAAACCATTGGCTTCAATGGAAGAGGATTATATGACAGGACTGCATTATAAATGATACTATTCTGTTCTAGACAAAGGTGACCTGCTTTAAGATAGAAATTAGAAAAATGAGGCTTAGACTCTTAAAAATGGTTGAACCTGAGTACAACCCGCGTTCTTTACGTGAGTAAACCAGAAAAACAGAAGTTGGCGTATGAGACGTTAGAAACAAGGTAAAAAGTAGTTTGCTTGCAAAGAGGAATTGTTCCTTCTGCGAGTCATTTCAACAAAACTCTGGAAAAGCTGCGTATACAGCTGTCATTACACACCAGCGACGTCATGCGTATAAGATGTTCTCTTGGTATTCTAAACAACCAACATAAAATAAATTACAATGAAGCAGTGGTGAAATGAATTATGGCTGCATTATGTGCCTTGGACGTATGCGAGCATAATCACAATACAGCGTCAATCATTTTATTAACCGCTCATTTCATTTAACATTGATTTCACTCAAATGTACTTTAGTGCAATCAGTCGAATATGGATATCACCATCGTTGCTGCAAGTAAAGGGGATAACATTGTGTTTCACACATTAATGTGAACGTGCGAAAGATGCGGCCATGCCGTCTGACGTGCGCGCTTTAGGTTTGAAATTCAAAGTGATCCATCAGGTTGCGCAATAAAATTCGCTGAAATGTGCAAAACATTCGTGAAAATTAATTCCGATGTTATAAATGATTTCAAATAAACACATGACTTTTCAACATTTTCCGCCGTCGAAACAAATTAATATGCTCATCAATATTTGAGAGCTCTAAATGATGCGCATATTCTGATGGCAAACGCCTTGCGTTACTAGACCGATGGCATGACCAATTTGTAAATGAGGATATGGGTAGGCAACTGCTTTACCAAGACAAAAATGATAAATATTGTTAAATGCTGATTTTAATTCTTCACATATGTATTACCCAATAACGAATTACTTCTCCAAACCCGGATTTTATGGCGTATTACAGTGCTCCTAGCTACAATTGTAACTTTTTAAACAGATATTTGAATACCAGTACTGCCAGATGCGTCTCTTATCAGTTTCTCCAGAAGAACAACCTCTTGACTTTCGCGAATGATGTTTTAGAGGCTGGTATTCTTCATATGCTACCGCAAAAACATTATATTGTTCGTACACCCACGTATGTCATATAGTGACTGACTCATCCAAATCCAAATTTTAAGGTGCAGTACGTCAGCCCATTGCTCCTAGTTGCTCATGTTGCAATCAGTGCGAGTCACAGCTCCACAATATTTGATCATCTGCAGGCAGTACCAGATCAAGTTGCACCATTTTGTGCGCTAAAGTCATCTCGCGCTTATTGCTAATGAGGCGCTAATGCAGTACGCGGTGACATGATTTTGGTTGAATAATTGCGGGTGTGCGAAAAACTTATGATATATATTAATGAATTTAATAATTGACGACAGTAGACATCTGGTTGCAAGAGCCTGAATCTGTGCATGCCAGATGATATCATATGACAAAATGATATCCAAGTATTTGACAATTTGACAACGACAAGTGACTAGACTGCTATTGATAAGCAGAGGAAGGAAAAAACATCCAAAATGGTTGAATTCTTTGTATTTCGCATCATTCTTATTTATTCGACAACTTCAGATAGTTTAAATGGGAGACCGCTAGTGGAGAAGTACTGGAGTGCGCTTCCGATTCCATTAACATAATTTTCCCACTCATCCAACGACGATTTCATTGATCCCGATATAACAATGATTAGACAGCGAACGGGAGTGAAGAACGACTTCGTCGAAAGAAGAAAGGCGAAGACGCGGTATACCCGGGCTCGCAGCTTGGCTCATCGACGAGAGATGGCTGGCGATGATCGCTGACTGAGCACTGGTGGTCGACTGGTACTCTCACTGACGAAGTAGTCTGTTTTGTCACCCATAACGACAGTGAAAAAATTATATCAGCAGCCGATAAGGCTGTTTTCGGATGGAGACTGCTTAAAAGCATAAGAATAGCCGACTATTGAGGTCAGCGCTATTGCTCGTTGATTACCGGTCAATCCAACTGAATTTTTTAACCTTCAGGGCGAATTTCATACTTTTATCTTCGAAAATTTTTTTGACGGATACGCATCGACCCTTGTATAACAAAAGCTCTTAAAAAATTTATCTTGTCATCTTGGATTCCCGGTATTCCCATTTTCAAATAATGACGGATGAAAAACAGATTGTACCTATTGATCGACAGCAATATTATTGTAGGTTATGCGGTTAAGCCATGCTTTCATAGTTATTTTAATAACCTTATGCTAAAGTTTGGGAATATAGTTTTACCAGTTTGATTATGGTCAAGTTGCATAAATCGTGTATAGGATGTGTTACTTGCTGCTATATGCAGGTATGAATTGCGTATTCTGAAATGGACATGTAAATTTACTGCTTGAACAATATGGCCAAAGAGTTCAGGTTTTCAGATGTATTTTTCCATTGATAATATCTTTTGCTGTGCGACAGATCCGTCATATTCTCATCTGGACATTATTATCAGACTATTGCTTTCATATTCGGGCTTTTTCTTGTTTTTTAGGATTGTCCCTTCTGTTTTTCTGTCGAAAGGTTAATAGGATTAAATACAATGATGCCCGCCCGACATGTCTGCCACTGTCATGTTTGTGAATGCCGTCAAGGGTCGTTATCTTTTGAACATGATTATGGTATTGTTTCGACAAACATTTCAAGCTTCTTCAGGAAGATAACAGTTTGCTACAGCCGTGATAGTTTGCCATGGGTGAAACCAGTATCTACTTATAAATGAGTTGGCTGAAGCGATATGCACTCGTTTTATAATTTTTTCTATTTGAATGTTTTTACGAAAACTGTACAAGTGAATATTTAGGCCAGCATTTTGTGAAATTCCAAAATGTCGAATAAACTTGAACAGGAACTCTCTCACTTACTTATCACGGAAGAACACGTCGTTTCTTTCGCCAATCAGCAGCTTAACTTGACTTCGGCCGAGGATGGTAAGAATGGTTTTCGGTTTTACAGTTAACCATGGCCATACGTTGCTGTGGCTAGGTAGGACCTTACGTAGTCGTTGGTCGTAATATTTATTCGACTGGATGCCTTGAATTGCTGCGTGCTGCGTTGTAGCTTTGTACATTTAAAAATCTACTTTGTTTCTGCAGTAATGCAGATTCAGATGCCCAAAGATATATTGGGTTGTTTATTTACGGTCGGAGTTCAACAGGCATGAATGATGACCAGGAGCGAGTGTCTAAATTGATCTTTTAAAGCTATAAATTTACATTTTAGTACCCTAACGATTGATGGCTTAAAAACAGTCGGCGCACGACTATCAAATCGGGTTTTATGGAGTTCTAGTTCCATCCTTTGCTCTGGGAGATGCACGACTCCATGGCATTGTAACGCGTAGATACCATTTCAATTTCAGTTAAAAAACTTGGCTCAGATAGAGAGAAGTGAGCAGAGTACTGTATGACAAGAAGATGCCGATCAAACTGAAAGGGAATGTATGCAGAGCGATAATAAGACCGGTGCATCTGTACGGAAGGGAATGTTTGGCTACTCTAAATGAGCAACAGCTGAACTCGATAGAAATGCAAATGCTAAAATGGATGTGCCAGCGAAAAGAATCACATTCGAAACTGCTGCATAAGAGACATTCTAGGCGTAACACCAATTACAAAAGGCTGAACTAAAACAGGTTCCGTTGGTTCGGACACGTAAAACGAAGACCCATCGGGTCCGTTGGAAATGTGGTCCAAGCACTGATACTGCTAGGAAAAATAAAAGAGAAAACCAAAGGAAAGGTGACGCGATATCATCAGGAATGATCTGAGACTGCAAGAAGTAACTGAAAATTTAACCAAAAACCGAAACATGTGGAAGCAGTTGACTCGATGAGCGGACCCCTGTTAGAGAGATCATGCTGTGAAAAAGAAATAGCGCATACCACTTTAATGGTTGGAACACAATGTTGCTGGACAACGATGCTTGCTCCTTAGACATATGATAGCAGGATATCTGTGCTATATTGCCGCGAAACCCGGTATATCGAATCTGTAGACTTTTGACATTCTGTTGATGAACTAACCCATATTTCAAATGTTTTGCGAAATTTAAAAATTATCTAGACTGATTTTAGTTTCATCACGCAATCGATTATATCCAATAGTTGCAATTTAGCAAATGGCCAAATGTCAGGATTGCTGTTTCTACGTCGTTTCGTCATAAATTTCAGGACCCAGATATTCCAAGAAGAGGCATGGAAGGAGTGACTGTAGAAGCCTCGTGCATGGTTCAAAATCAATTCAAGATCATATTTTTTTACGGTTCTATGTTTCTTTTGTTTCCGCATTTGCTCGAATTTTATTATGCGTCTGGTCCTAATCTAATCATATCTCTAAAATAACTAGTTAAGTTTATATTCGTCCTTAAAGTTTGTTTACAGTATAATAGCTCATTTGGAAGAAAAACAAACATCTAACGCGCTCCTAATAAGCTCGTAAGACTTAACTCGTTTAGTTTCGTTCTAGCTGCGGATGTTTCGAATGCGATAAAATCTGCCGAAAAGATGACGACTTTAATTCTCACTGGAAATACGTTGGGTATTGAAGCGTCAGAGCGAATCGGCAAAGCCATTACTCATCATCGGGAGTTGAAGGTTCGTATCACATTATTTAAGATTTTCGTAACTGCCGGGTTTTGCTCTTGCGTTTTATTTTTGTCTTTCGGTTTCATGCTCTGCGGGCCGTTTACAAAGTTTATACGACGTGCCGTTTCCAACCTCAAAATGATTCAAACCTCATAAAAACTGAACATGTGCTAGATGCTGCATGTCTCCTGGGACTTGCGAATGTTGGACGGTCGTGACAAACCAATGACTTCGCCCAAACCGAAACACGATGCAGGTTCTCATAATCTTTTGGGGACTCTTCTAAACCCACCAACAGTGCCAAGGACATCAGCTGCTTAAAAAATGTTAGTAGGATGCTCGCCTTGAGAATTTCTCCCTGAGCTACAAACGTTTTGATTGAGTACGTCTCTGGCAGTTACCTGTTGATACTTACCGAACGGATTTTATACACGGCTGTGGGAGAGGGCTACGGCGCCAGAAAGACGCCAATTATGAGAACATTCGTCTCGATAGACATCATGCTATTGAAGTAGAACGGGTTGGTCATTTCAAACATCTCGGTACAGTTTTGGTTAATGATGACACCATTTATCCTAAAACGAACCGGCGAACTGGATTGGCGTCGGCGAATTTCGACAAGCTGCAAGAAACATCTGAAGACCGAACTCTAAGAACTACTACGAAGACCAACTTCCTAAACCAACGATACTCACGGTGCTTATATGCAGTCAGGAAACAGTTGCAGTTGTGAAGTGTCATGAAGCTTATCTCGACAGATTCCAACAACGTTGTCTGCGAAGTTGCCTTATTGTGTGGAGTATAGCCGGATCATGAACGATCAAGCGCTGATTAACAACTGTCTGCGGAGATTTCCAGTAAAACTGAGAAATCGGCACAAGTTTTTTGGTAAACAGGCTGAAAACAGAATTAAAACGTTCATCATGTTTCTTTCGTGGAAATCATGCACTAACCGCAAATGCGTTGTAGACAGGGCGAAACTTATGGGCATCTTATTGAGGTAGATCTGCTTGCCACGAGAAATATTTCAGCAGCAGCAGCTACTTTTGCCTGATATAATCTAAGATTTCTTTTCTAACTGACAGATTTCATGAATCTAGGCTACCCTGCTGTTCGAGTTCTGTTAAGTCAGGGGACGATGAGGCAACAGCACCGTAGCATATGCATTGTTTTCTTAGTTTCACCGCTTGTTCAAAAACTTTTTCTATCCATTAGATGTCTTAGGAGCTATTTGAATAGATCACGAGCCTGTGGTAGTATTGCGCCTGTAATCTATACAAATAACAACATATTGCATGCTTCTGGCCATTTCGCATCGCTAGCTTATTAGAATTTATGTGGCTGGTGTTAACTTTTTTTCGAACCCAGTGATTTCTGCCCTTTCAAATCGGTCAGGCTTAAATTTTGCTCCAACTTCGGGAATAGTGGTCATCATGCGTGGTTCTATTTTTCCATTAGTGATATTCCATTCCAGATTAGTTTTGGACAAAAGATGAACTCGCTGTTCGCTCTCGGATTATCTAGGAAAAGCGCTTCTCAACTATTCCGTCAGGGGTGTAGCTCTTGGTCGAGATGGAAGTTGCCAGAATCCTCCTGTCTTTAAGCGATGACGATGATGATGAAGGATTGAGCAGCAGCGTCAATAATCCTTCTTGCTTCAACAGATCAGGTGAAGCAAACGAGCGTGTACTTGAACGTCTCATTTTTCTTTCCAGTGAAAACAGCCTGCACAGATAACACCCAACAGATAATTTTACTTGCATACAGAGCGTCATAGAAAGTCATGGTGACATAACTTCGCACATATTTGTGTATTTATGTCTTGATAATTTTTGTGAGCATGGAGACAAAGTCCAGTTTTTTCCAGGGTACTGTGCTTTGCATTCGTAACGTCGCCAAATATATGGCCCAGTACTAAAACGGTGCCGGCTTTACTGCTTCTTTTTGGCTCTTTCTGTTTATGCTATCCGGCAACATTTTGTATCCCTACTTCAATGTCCCTTTTATTTTTGTCACGGCGGATATTCCTTTATACTTGGCTTGTTATCCCATTCTTTATCTAGTTGTATCCATCATTGAATTTATGCCCTTGGCTATTCTATGAGGCTTTACCTCGCCATACGACATCAGTTTTCTTAACTCTGATCGGAACTTTTAGTTTGTAAGGAAACCACTTTTTATTTTGCTGCTGGTCTGTAGGTCATTTTTAATGCATTGCTTTTACTTTCATTTCACTGCAACGAACCGCGTGTACCTGTCCAAAAGGCCTCTGTTAACCGTTGTCATTATGCATCGTTCACCGGTCATTAATGCAAACTAACGTAACAGTAAACTGTGGAGACTAATAATGTCCGTCAGTGCCGCCATAATGAACGATTATTTGTCTGTTCAACGTGTCGTACCTGATCGTCGCCACGATCAATGTGCATTATCATCATATTTATCTCAGTCCGCTTAGGGACTGAAGATTCTTCACAAGAGGTCACTGACAGTATCGAACGTTCTGTGGAATATATTAAGTTAATGCCGAGTGTTCACGGCATATGTTTATAACAAAGAAAGTAAATCGCCTATGCTGTTTCACTGCACGATTATCCAAAATAATATTTACACGGTGTTTAACGAGTACTCCTCTGCTTAACTCATGTCACTAAATTGGGCGTAAACCTTCATGATAGTTTTATTTTCGTCATTGACATTTGATTACCAACCGCAGACTTTCTTCCATCGTCGTCAAAGTACGCACTGCTTCGCACCGCTGTCTTTCACATCCATTAGTAAATATGTATTAGTATATTAATTATGTGTAATGGTGCTTTCGTTTTCACAGTGAGTCATTGCTTTATATCAGAGTTCTTGTTCATATTAGAGTAACGAATGTAGTACCAGTAGTACGCTAGGCGTCCGAGAAAAAATATTTTTCAGCCTATTTCTGCCTATAACGGCCAGTAATGATGCCAGGAAATGTGCTGTTTTTTGCAGTTGGTTGCGTGACATTGAGGTACGGCGATTTATGGTTATGGTAAAATATGGTTATTTTTCGAGGTAATGAAAACCATTCCTCATTTGTTAGAATGTGATTTTTATGCTTGAAAGAACCGGATTCCAAAGGCTTCGGTTCATTGCTTTGTTTTCTCGCTTGCTTAGGACGTTTGTGAATGAATTTGCGCAGGTGCTTTGTCAGCACTGTGTTATGAGAAAATGTCATGTCTTACTGCTGAACGAGCTGATCTACTGCGTTTTAGCGCGTGTTGTTCGCGGATATCTTCACCAGTAGACGCAAAGACGAAACACCATTCTGTTTGGTAGAATAAAGTTTATGTTGCACGCTTCCGCAGTGAGGCTTTAGTTTGTTTTTTTGTATTACAGAAATACCTGTGCAAAGCGTTCGTTACGGCGCACTGCTCGCTGACGGAGTTGGACCTGAGTGATAACGCGCTGTCGGTTGTCGGCGCCCATGCAATCGATTTCTTTTTGCGTAGTCCATCTTGCAGTAGCTTAAAGATCCTTCGACTAGACAACTGTGGCTTGGGAATCGCAGGCGGAAAGGTATTTCATTGTCGCTTTTCTGTGATGGCATATGACATATGACATTGTTAACACCGTGCAGTGCCTTCTTGAGGGAGTTTAGCAGTTTTTAATATTTTGTTGTGGTGCGTTGTGCAAGCCAGCTGAATTCAGTTTAGTGTAATTTGCTTAGTGATTCAATAGGGCCACAGCTTTGTATGTGACTGTATGCATTTCCTGAGATCATCACCTAGAGTCGTCTTCATAAGTAGAACGTCTATGATTTGTGATGTCATCTGCATCCGCAGCTTTTCAGCACTTTTTCTGTAAAGTACCGGTTGCTGCTCTACGTTGTTCCATCAGGTGGCATTATGACCTCTTTGTCAACGCGTGCTATGTTTCGTTTCCCACACGAGAAGTGCTTCGGCTGGGGTAAATGGTTTATGGTCAACCAGTTTGTCTACAAGGTCGGCCTCCTTTCTTGATCCTCGCATCTACAGAGAGAGGTCACTTGTTCCCGGAAGAGGATTGAATTATTCCTTACATGGTCCTGCCATTTACCCCTCGTTATGCACCGAAGCCAGCGCTGCTGCACGTAGCTCAGTTGTCGTGTTTGCTCATTTGTTAAAACAGCTGTTTCCAGTCTACACACGCACACACCTTTCTAACCCAAAATCTGATTGATTTCTGAAAGCATTCGAAGCTACGTTGATCCTGTTATTTAAGTTTCATTAGATGGTACCATTGCTGGAGATGATAGATCCTGGATACATACATTAGTTCAACCTTCTCAAGTTCTTTGCCTCCTCAGTTACTGTGGATTAACTGTGCCAGTTGAGATCCTCTAACTTTCGACTTCCGGATGTTAAGGAAGAGGCCGTTATTCGCAGCTGTGTTGCCTACGGAACGTGTCAGATCGCCGAGCCAGCTTCCCGTACTACTCATCAGAACAATATCATTTATGTACTCTAGGTCAGCAGATGTCTAACCAGATGTCTTGAAATGCTCCTTCTTTTTAGAATGACATTTGTCTTTGCCAGTGTCAGCACTGTGTCAGAGAATGTTGGATTGCAAATGCGAAGGCGCATCTCCTTGGAAAACCACTAGGATAGCTAACTTTTGACTTTGAAAGCAAGCGTGGTTCTTGCGTACATCTTTTCCAACAGGGAATCGACTTGCTCAGGTATTCCATAGCATTTCAAGATTTTCAACATCGTCGGACGATGTACTGAGTCAAATACAGTTTTAAGCAGGTATAAGACCACGGCAAGTTGCCTTTAATAGAGCAAGCTGCACAGCAGATCCGCAAGTGCGACAAGAAGATGAAACGGAGGAAGCAGTTGTACAGTTTATCTGCCTCAGATTTACCATCTCCAGCTCATGTATCAGCCAGCTAGAGTTAATGAAGGGGATTTGTCTGTGCTACCAGTGCTTCCTGTAGCCTGTCCCAGTATTTGTACTAAGAAAAGAGCATTTCTTTCGCTTAAAATTTGCCTGCACTTCGCTTCGACCAGGTCAGTTTTGCTCTGTCACTTAGGGACAGTCGCTCTAACGAAAGTGTCAGGTACAATGGTCGAACGGTGTGCAACATCTCAACATCTCTGGTATATAATGATGGTTAAATGGTAGTATCATACAAGCAATAGAAGATGCCCGTCTTTTCTGATTCTGCTTTTAGCTACATAAAGAAGGCATTTCTCAAGTCATTATTTCTGTTACTTAGCTGACCCGCTTTTCGATCGACTGAAGGTTGGCTAAGAAAAAAAAGTATTTACTTATTTGTGTAGATAATCAGAGATTTCGAAGGAATTGCCGTCTTCAGTTGTCTGAGGGACAACATCGATCAGACTTTTCAAAATTAGTGTGAGGATTTATGTTCTTTAACACGTTTTCTCATTAAACATAGATTTTTGGCCAGGTTAACTCTGATTAGTAAATTGCTTGAGCCAAATTCAGATCTAGCCTTCTGGCTGCAAACCTACTAATCACTGTGGAAAGCAAGAAAAACCTTCGAAATTTTACCAACCTCTTACGTTGAAGAAGACTCGTGAGATACTAGCTGGAATGACTGTATTGGTCGATCATCCGATTGACCGTATTATTTTTTTGCGTTCTATATTAACTAACCGTGTTTTGTGCTGTTCCTGAGTATGACCACTAACGCACGAACGAAGTGCTCTATCGTAAGTGACCACAGTGACTGGCCGTAGTATCATTCTTTCAGCTCTGCTAGATCGGTCTTAGATTAGCGGATTAGAACAACGTTCTCTTAAGAAAGAATGCTGCAGCATATCAGTAGTGCCGCTGCCCGCAACTATTAAGCATTTTTTGCCATGCATCTATTGCTAAAGTTTATTTTGAAGCAGTAATTATGATAGTTGACATCGGTTAGTGAAGCAGTGGTAATTGTCACCTGGTTGGATTTCTTCCTACATGGTTAACTTGCATGGTGTGACATCACTTTGTGTAGTCACGCGGCCAGGAGAAATGTTGTCGTCCATATTAATGGTCATAGAAAGCATTATGAAGCTTTGTAAGTCCGTTCACATTCGATTTTTTTTTAACAAAAGATGGCTACGAATGGCGTTCGATTGAGGAGAAGATCTAGAACAGTTTATACGTGGATAACGCAAGGAAATAATGAAATGAGCGTTGTTTTCTTCTACTTATATTGCACAAGATCCTGAAAAGATTTGCAAAACCCGTCTCCTTTAGTGAGGCCTTTAAGCAAAAAATGACGTGTTTTTCATTCAGTCTGTATTGCGAGAACAAGTAATTAAGATGCATGTCTGACATCGTTTCGCTGCTTTCAGATAGTCGCCCGTGCGTTGTTGGAATGTCAAAGACGGGCTACGGCGAGAGGCACTAGGATGCAATTGACAACGTTTTCAGCCGGACGCAACAGGTTGGAGAATACGGGTGCCGTTGCACTCGCAAAGGCTTTCAAAGTGGATTTTTCCTCTATAATCTGGTTTGACACTAAATTTTTATTCAGGCTATTGCCATTCTCGAAGACCTATCTTTGCCACAGAATGGCATCCACTTCATCGGTGTCGCGGCGCTGGCCAAAGCTTTCGAATTTAATCCGAACCTGATGTCTATCAACTTTTGTGACAATACATTGGGCGTGAAAGGCAGCCGGGCTCTTGCCGAGGTTCGTTGTTCATGGATTCACTCTGCCTGTTGATGATATATAATTGTTGCGTGTTTCAAGGTGTTACCAAAGTTGAAACATCTCAGGGTTCTAAACCTGAGCGACTCGTTAGTAAAGTCTTCCGGTGCGCTGGTGATTGCGCATGCTTTGAGAAGTTCCATTTCACCGTTGAGGGTAGAAGTTCTTTCCCGTTTCGATCACTTTTATCTCTATTCATTTTCAGGAACTGTATCTTGATGGTTGTGAGCTGAACTACAACGCGTGTTTGGGAATAGTGGAATCATTGCAATCACGGGAAAGTTTGCAGAAACTTTCGCTCGACTGTAACGTTATCTTTACATTTCTTTTGCACGAGGTTACGTCGCTGTAATCCTAATTTAGCTTTGTGTCTTTTTTTTTAATTTTATTTGCTCTTAATTCTTAATTCATATATAATAATACTGTAAACTGCATAAGATGCAGAACATAAATGCTTACAATTAGGCACAGCGACAAATGCGCGCCGAGAAACCTTGCAGTTACAAATACGGAAAGCTAAGGAATTTCATTTAGCTGAAGCTACCTGTGTATACAGCTGGGTCGTCGTTATATCGGGTCACCTATTAATGGTACTCATTCATCTTTTTCTTAAAGAAGAAAGACAGGTGACTCGCGGTTTTTCTACTGAATCCAAAATTTTTGCGAATGTTCTGCCCTTAAATCAGTATTGTTGCTGAGTGTGCGGATACAAGAACCATCAGTTTATCACATCAAGACGATCTTCGGAGCGGACACCTTATGTTGAGGTTCTTGTCAACCAATGAGGCGGTTATTCACAGTCGGCCTGTTGAAATAAACGACCTGCGGATTTCGGAAACGTTATTTGATTTGCCCATTCTTTGCCATCCCCATATCGAAGCAAGCATGACTTTTTTTAATTGTCTCTTGATTTGCGTTGTTCTTTAGTTGTGCGTGGAGCTCAGCGGCGTAGTAAGAAGTCGTTCAGATTTCTACGTCTAAGTGCCGGCCGAATTCACGCGCATTTGAGTACTTTTTAATTACCCTGATATTTTTAATCGGTGATTCCGCACCGTTGTATTTCGGCACTATCAGTACAGAGACGGATAGCAGATCGACAACTTGCAGATAATG